TGGATTGATTGTTGGGGATGGGATAGGAAGATGTTTAAAGACTTTATACCGTGGATCAGTACTAGACTCTTCTTTGTGCAGGCGTTAGATCGTGCTTTCACCAGAACGTGCTTGATGTAGCAGATTTTGGCACCTCGCATTGTGACCTCTTGAAACAAGAACATGCCCCTATCACCCAGCCCCCTACAGCAACCAGCCACCTCATATATCCCAGATGTATAGCTTAGAATTCACTTTGGTCTGTCAAAGGTCACGAGTAGCCAATTCCTGAAGTGTTGTCACGACTGTCAAAGGTCCTGGTAGCTAGCATCTAATCCTACAAATCCAGCCGTACCTCCTCCAGCCGGCACGACTGGAGCCTCGCACCCACCCCAGTCCCACTGACGGTCCCGGCTCACCACTGACTCAGCTTGGCCTCAGCTCCAGCACCGGGCCCTTCGATTCCGCCCGGCCGCGCCGGAATCGGTTGATGGTCAGGTCTCGGAGTTCAAGAGCATCGGCGGTCAAAGGACCCTGGTGGCGAAGAAGCGCCTGGGACAGGTGGTGAAGAAGGGAAGGGAAGAAGGTGACTGGGTCAGAAGGAGGTCGACTTGAGAAGGAGATTTGGAACTCCAAGAGGCACTATTGTTTTTGATTTTATTGCATTAATTTGTTTGACAGTAGCAGTGTTGCGTGTAGATAGTTGCACAGATTGGAATTTTGACAAGTGGTGTTGGGCCGCCGGGCCAGTGCCGTCAGTGGTGAAACACCAGGCAGATGTTTGCTTGTTCTTGGTTTTCAGTTTTCAGTATCGTCCCCAGCCACACGACCATGACCACCACCCTAACTCCCAAATTTGCAGCAGACTCTCCTGAGGCAGATGGGCCATTCAGGCTCCTTGCCCTCGCTCACGGGCTGGGGAGCCAAACAAGATCATGAGAGAGAGATGTGAGGTGCGGGAGGATTAGGTTCCAAGTGATGTCAGTGATCTCAGTGGCGCTCATGTGGGGAACTGCATGATACTGCTGGTCCTTGCGCATGTGTCAAGGACGCGTTTCCTTTTTTACTTCAACCATCTTCAACCAACAGCCTGACGTAGATGTGTGTGGGATCAGGCAGAAGGAGTGCCTTGATACTCATTGATTGGCCAAATGCGAGGTCTTAGGAAGCCCAAGGAGCCCAGCACAAAGCAAAATAGACCTTTGCTTGTTCGAGGATCTGAAAGAATCACTCAGTCTGTTTTGGACTTATCCTGGTGGTTTCTGAATTTCTATGGATTTCTCGTCTGGGGGATAACAGTTTTTGTTTTAGCAAAATTGTAGTCTTCCACCAATTTGGTATTTGGTAGTTGCTGGTCATGGAACGTCATGGAAGACAATGTTTCAATATGTTTCAGCACATGCCAGGGCAGTTTGTGCAGATGAACCCTTGACTTAACTTTGGTCTCCTTTCGGTGACAAAATGTTCAAATATGGCTCTCTCTCACTCTACATATTATATATATAACTATATATACATATATCCACGAGCTCACCAAATTAGCCATTCTCACCTTGTCAACTGAGGCCAGGCTTCCTTCATCCAGTAGCCATTTTTCTCAAGCAGCAACTCAACCATGATTCTTGAAGTTCCTCCAGTTTCGTCAGGTTTATCTAGCAGCTGGCTGACTTCTTCATGATTCAGCCATACATCAATTACAACATGCCTTCAACATACTCCATGGATTGTATAACCAGAACTCAGCAGATCTCAGTATATAGTAGCCCCTTTGTCAGCGTCTATCAGCATCAAGTTACTGGATTGAGGCTGCCTCGCCACAAGTCGGGCCACGCTGATTTCAACAAAAACAACGCCTGAGAGGTGTTTTGAGCTCTACCCTCCAAGCGTCCAAAGTCGCAAAAGAAGAAAGACGACTTGCTTCAGAGAAGGGGTTCTGCGCTTGCCATGTTGAGCCCCAGCACCTCCCTGCAGTATCTGCACCTCTCGGAGCAGTCGACCTCTGCCTCTGAACCTGATGCAGAGGCACTCGCAGCAGCCTCACACACGGCAGAGGCGCTGGGCTGCGGGGCGCTGAAGGCGGTGAAATGCGACTCCTGTGGCAGCGAGGAGGCGTGCAGAAGGGCTGTGGGCATCTGTGGGCTGTGGACGCTGCAGTTCGCAAGATGATGAACGTATCTTGACATGTCCTGACTGGCTTTGTCCATTTAAGAGCTGTGAGCTTTCTACGGCAGCACTTGACGAGAACTGACAAAACGTTCTCCATGCATTGCTGACCAGGTGGTCAAGGGCCGCAGCTTTGCCGAGCGTGGGCAGAAGTACTGCCAGGAGCGGGCGAACGAGCTTTCAACAAATGGCAGCCGTGGTGTTTTACTGTCTTTATGTGTTTTTTAGATGTTTTTTCGCCTCCGAGGTTGAGAGTGAACCTGCTTTCACCAAACACCGGGACTAACACCGGGCAAGAAGTGCAGGCACGGCACCACATCGGCGTGATTCGAGTTCTTCGATCCACGAACGGCCAGATGTTCGTCGTAGTTTTGTCACCGCGATCCTTCGCACCGAAAACACGAACTTCTAACAGTCTATAGTCTATGCTAGTCTGAAAGCCCAAGGTTCATCCGGAATGCGCCGGCGCCTGGGACGGGGTTTTCTCCGTTCCACCGCAGCGTCCATCCCGGGTGGAACACACGCAGAACGCGGTGCCAACGCGGAACGCCAGGAGTGTTGGAACGCCTGGGAGCGCTGCGGCTGGTGGTGGCCGTCGATTCGAGTCGCTACGTGTCCACCGCCGGTGGGGCCGGATGGTTTGGTGCGTGTGCATGCTGAGGAGAGGGGGTGGGGATGAGGGGTTTGGGGATGGGGTTGCTACTGCCGAGAACTTCAGGAAAATAGATATTAATGGAAGAATCAGAAGGTGCCAGCAGAGTAATTTCAGATACAGTAATTTTAGTGGTCAATTGCAAGGCTGTTTGCAAATCTGAATGTAGTTTCATACATGATCATACATGCAAACCACACGAAAGCCGCAACTGCACCAGGCAACCAAGGACTTGAGAAAAATCCCTAGAAAAGCGCCTACAGGCTCTAGTTTTAAGGAATGGTAGGACCAATGTAGGACCCAGGATGGTGAGCTCAATTATGTATCATTGGATTAGATCAGGTTCATTTTTTAAACCTGTAGCAGTCGATAAACAATCATCATGCGCTGTTATTGGTATTGGGATAGACCCACTGTATTTATGTGTATATATAGAGATCGAGAGTTATATAGACGATCCTATTAGAGATGTTATTAGACTTTCCCAACGTATCCCAAGGCTGCCAAATAAAACGCCTCGCCACGCTATTGCACTTATTACACCATCTAATTCCACACCCAAAATGACCAAACAAACGTCACCAAAGCTCAGCGTGCACTGCCTAACATTGCTTTTTGACGGCTATTCAAATCCTATATTAAAGCCATGTTGAAAGGCGTTACCGATCCTATTTGAGATTTCTTGGATTTGGCCCGGACCCTTAGGGCCGGGTATTAGCGACATGTTCTTGCATGGCTGGAGGTTCTTTCCACGGACGCGCCTCGGGGTGGCATTCGTTTTGTCTCGTCAGGATGCATACTTCCTCCCAAGCTTCCTGTGCGATGCGGAAGATGAGTCCGTGATGGCAGCCTTGCAGTTGGAGTTGGAGACTGAGGGCAAGGTCATGTCGGACTGGCATGGCGCGCGGCACCTAGGCGCCTCAGTGGGCGTCCTTGATGTGGGAAGACAAGGGCTGGCCGAAGTGGGTCCAAACCCTCGTGACTAGATCAAAACAATTGGAACGAAACTGGACTGGAATCAGTTTCTTGAATTTTCTTGAAAGACTGGGCATTGGCTGCATGAAATGTTTTTTGGGGGAGCTGGTGTTGGAATATATATATATATATATACGTATTTATGTTTATTAATTACTGCTCTTTCTCTTTCTCTTTGTTGTCTCCCTCTCTCTATTTATATATATGGATCGCTGTATATATTTTAAAAAAATAAACCAAACATGTGTCACCCTACTCGAATCTATCGACTAACATACTTGGGGGACGGTAGAGATCCAGTCCTGGATCGAATGCATTTGTTCTCAGCTGCTGAGCGAGCTGTGCTCCCCCTTTTTTAGACAACTCTCTGTTAGCCAAGTGGCTGTGACCTTATCATTGACCGGCTTTCGGGGGATCCTGGTGGCAACCCCTGCCAGGTTTACAGTTTGAGAAGGGCTTGGAGCCTGGAGAAGAGTCCTTGCGTGCGAAACTGGTGCAGAAAATGGAGAACCCAGGCTGAGAAGTGGAGAAGTTCCGCTTAGAGTGGTGATTTGGGGGATGAGAAGGGTATGAAGGAGTGAAGTAGGAAATCAAGAGCGACAGGGCATGGAGGGAGATCGAGCCTTCAGGTGTTTTGTCACCTTTGAACGCTGTAAATGGATGCTTTTGGAAAGCGCATCTTTGGCTGATGTCAGTGAGTAGACTTCACGGAGAGAATACAAATCTAACTTCCTCATTGTGTTTGACTGTATTTGATGTGTGTTGGAGGGGGGTCCCAATAAGGCAGAGCAGTGGGCCAGTGGTCACCACTGGCCACCTCCACCCAGGAAAGCCTTCGGTGTGAAGGCTTCGGCTGTGCGGCTGAACATCTATCGCTCCAACAAGGTCCTCCGGTGGGATCCGACGGATTCGGTGCATCCGGACTGCACGTGCAGCGACTGCATGTGGAGGAGGTGAGGTCCTGCAATAGCAGTGGAATATGTGAACTGCAGACTCTTGAGGAATCATGAGGAGGTGTTTCAATCCATGAGAGGGTGTTACATGTTGAGTCCTTAACCCCTCATGAACCCCCTCTATGAGGAGCTGTTTCAATCAATGTTTAGTCCTAAATTAGTTGTTGATGTATTGAGGGGGCGCCTTTTTTGGGTCTTCAGCTCTCACCAGCTTGGTGTTTGCCCACTCACCACGCATCACATGGTCCATTGGACCAACTGAGAAATGGCACGAACACGCAGACGACTGGTTCTTTGGAAGAAGCTTGTCTCAGACCTTGTTTGCAAAAAATGCTGGTCAGAGCAGCCCTGAGAGTTTGTGTGTGTGAATTTAGTGAGGCAGTCATATGCGAAGAAATCATCGAAGACAGGCCAACCCCTGGTTTCGAGGATCAGGTGATGTTCTTGATGTTCCCTATGGCTCAACCCCCTTCTGGGGAAGATGTTAAATATCGTAAATATATTATAATATATTAGTTTCCAGGTTGTATGATAGTTTTCCCCATGGATATATGGGTTTCCAGGTTCCTGATGCAAGTATGAAGCTGATGGTCTGACGGTCTGGACGGACAGCGTTTCACCTTCGGAGACCGCGCTTGGCGAGATGGATGTTCTTCAGGCTGATGGATGACCATCTCATAGGTCCCTGAAATGCTCAGATGGTGAGACTACAAGACTACTCTCATGAGTCTGTATCATGTACTGTAATTACTGGTCTCAGACATGCTCAGACTCATGATGTTCTATTTGGCCCCTGGGTTGCAGGACTACAAGCCACTGCATTATGACCGTGGCAGTGACGCGGAGGGCGTCCCACAGCTCACGGTGGGTGCATCTTTTGGGTGCACGCGAGAGCTCACCCTGATGCATGTGAAGTCTGGTGTGACTATGTTCCTGGGCAAAAACTCGGTGCCGGAATCAGTGGACCAGACTGTTCAATGAGGTTATTTCGGGTCGAGATGAATGAGTTGTGAACTGAGTGAAGCCGAGGATTTCCACGTTTTTCCATTCGATTTGACCACGATTGACCCCTCAAGAAAGGTACTTCAACACCTTTTGGAGGGTGGTGGCTGTTTCATGCTTTTGCATTAGGAGCCCCGAAGAGAGCCAGCGCGAGTCTTTATGATTCAGTTCAAGTCGTTTGGAGCGCTGCTTGATGACCTCCAGTGCCAGGTGGTTGAATGTATTGTTCTTGTCCCGCTAACCTCACAACCATGAGCATGACCAGGGCGCTAGGATGTGGCAGCTGTCATCACGCCGTAACGTTGGATGTAGGCCGTGCCATGGTATAGATCGCTGGCAAGGGACGGCAGCCTCGAATCCTACAAAAAAACACATATGTAACAATCATAATAGCCTTTTGTCACCGCAGAATGCTCCCTTTTCATCACAGGTTTGCAGTAAGTTGGGTGGATATCCCATTACCAGTAACAGTGGATGATGATTATGATGGCCAGTAAAGGACGTTCTCTAAAATGGCGGTCATTGTTTGCTGACTGTTGCGGGTATTCGGACAGGTTGCAGGTATTTGGACAGGCCCAAGTTTACTGTAATGGTTTAAGCATTGAAACCCCAACTCTATTGCCCAAACCTTCCAGATCGTCACCAGTGTCTTTCCATCCACACACCGGTTGATACCAGGTCCTCCCCTTCCCACCCCACACGATTGAACCATTCCTTTGCTTCTTGGTTCAAGCTTTGGCTCGCATTGTGCAGATTCCTGCTGTGTGGTTCACACTGGTGGGTGCCGGTTTCTTGGCCGGTGACATCAGCTGAAGGAATCGCAATGGATGAGGAGAAACATGGCATTTGGTTGAAGAGTTTCGTCGCATATGGCATTTTGGGAGCTCTTCAGGTGGGGGGAGCACCTCATGCAAGAATGGGTAAAAAGATGGAGCTAAGAGTTATTGATGTTGTTCGTTGTTTTGCCGTCAGAATCCATCAATCTAAAGTTGTTCATTGATGTTCATTGGTGCCTTTGACGCGCCTCTCCCAAGGTGTTTGTTTCTCCATGCTTCCCAGGTCGTTTACCAGTTCTGGTCTGGCTGGCGGCAAGCCACCCGTATGCAGAAAGTCCTAAAGGATATGCCCGCGACCAAGGGAGAGGGACATGATCGGCCCATGGGATGGCTCAAAGACTTGAAGGCGAACATGCTCCGCTCCCATGACTGGCGCCTGGACCGCTCGGGTTCGTCGGAACTCCAAATTCGCTCCAACCGGAACTGATTTGTTCAAGCCGGGACCATTGTTTTGTGTGTATTTCAGTGGTGCGCTACAGAGTAGCATGGGCGAACCTTTGGCCCTGGCATATTCTGGCATATATATATATATATTATATACCAGGACCTTCCAACAGGTGGTTTTTGGCCACCTCTTAACCTCTAAGAGGCTATTTATAGACACCTCTTGGAAGGTCCTGGTATAATATTTATATGTCATGAAACTTTGGTGGCTTGATTTGAAGATGTTCCAACCTCTTCTTTCTCCATGGCAGAGGGACGTGTGGGTGGTCGGGTTTCTCCGTCCTGAAGAGGAGATCTGTCGAGGGCTTCCCATCGCCAAATTCTTGGGCTTCTCCTGGACGCCTGGGGCCTACAACTTGATTGCCAATGATGCAGCCATCGTGAAGCACATCCTGAAGGATGAGTTCCCTGGGCACATGGAGATAGACGATTGAAGACAACTCAACCTACTGAAATCAAAGAGATATAAAACAATAGGTCCCTGAGAAGCTAAGGTTCAACAAGTACAGCAAAGCGGAGGAAAAGCTAGACCCGTTCGCGTTCTACTTCCGGGAATTTCTGGGGGAGGGCATTTTCGTGGTGAAGCATGGTGTCGGCTCCACAGATGGTGGTCAAGAGTGGAGCCAAATGCGAAAGGTCTCGGCACAGATCTTCTCGCGCAAGAACTTCAACAGCATCCTGGGCTTTGCAATTAACTTTGCTTAAGGTGATGTTTATGATGGTTTACTTTCCCTATGGCTAATCATGTTAAACCCCCTTCTGGGGAAGTGTTTTGTTTCTTTTTTAAAACATGTTTTCCAGGTTCCTGGACAGCCGCAAATCCCAAGGCATGATGCAAGATGTCTTTGTGTCCAAGGCCGTGATGCTCAGCACCTAGGCCCGTTGTTTGAAGCCAGCCGTTGGCTTTGATGGTCGTCTCGGAGAAAACGGGCCGTCTCGGTGCGTTGGGTGATGTTTTGCATTTTTGTTGGCTTCGCTGCTGGGTGGGCATCCCTTCCACAGATGGGTGAGGCTGGCGCCCAAAACAGGGCAGTAGCCCAGGTGGGCGGTGAAAACTTTTTCGGCCTCTTTGAGGCTTCATGAAATGGAAGTCCAAGATCACCGAACAGTGCCTTGCCCAGGAAAGTTTCTACAAAGATCTTCTGGTGCCACGGACCTCCAGGCCACGCCGCTCTTTGTTTGGTCCGGTGTTCATTCTAAACAATGCTTATAACATGTACTTATAACAATGTCTACATGCTTGTAGCAGTGTCTAAACAGTGTTTTGTTTGTATGTACATTCTATAAATGCTTTGTACAACTATACTTGTACGTGCTTTGTATAAGTCTAGTTCTTCCCCTCATCCTGATGGGAAAGCCAGCACAATCATCATCCAGGCGTGCTTCTTCAACTACACCTTCGACAGCATCATGAGTATTTTCTTCGGCGAAGACTCTCACACTGCGGAGGGCGTGCCAAACCAATATGGCAAGGCCAGTTGAAACGTAGGGACCATGGCACGAGTGCCCTTCGCGGGAAGGAGCGGCCTATTGGAAGCAGCCCTTGGTCCAACTCCCCGAAAGACGCAACACAAAACGGAGGCAGGGGAAGATAATATATATCATGCATGAAGGGCAGAGGTCCTACTGTATGTTCCAATGTGTGTCAACCGGAAGCAATCTGCTTCGGGTTGTAGGCATGACTTTGACAGAGTCGGCAGCTGTTAGAGTGTTAGAGCACATTCTTTTGGACCATAAAGCATTATCTCACTAGGGGTGAGATGACAGAACACCCCATGAACCATTAAGGGTCCCTATATAATCCTTATATCAGCTTCATAATCTCGAACTCCTCTTTTGGACCTCCACTTTCTCTCCCTATGTTCATCCATGTCCAACCTTTGCCAGTTGCCCCAAAAAGAAGACACCGTCAACAACGACACCACCCCGCCGGTGTTCGCCGCCCGCTCCGCAGGCCTTTGATACGGCCTCGGCATGCTTTCGGCGGCACAGCATTAAGTCCGTCACACCGTACCTGCTCTTCAGCACCTTTCTACCGTGGCCCTTCGGTGGGACACAGGGAGGTGCCTTGTACTTGACGTCCCGTGGTTGCGGCGTCAGTGGGTTCGCGGTGCGGGTTGGCAGTGGCCCGGTGGTGGCTGAGGGGGTGGTTTCATCGAAAAGAATGCCGGAAGACCGTGGTGTTTCATGTGCTTGCACTCCACCAATCACCAATATGATGTGTCTCAATATTATATGTGTGCGTTTCTTATATATGTCTTAAGGGTGTTTATTTTGGCGTTTCCTTGTTTTGAATGTGTGTAGCAGCGGCAACAGCAGTAAGTAGGAGTATGTTGTCGTCTTCGTCTTCGTTGCAACAGCTCCTGAGTCTCACTTACTGTCTAGTTGAGGACTTGCTCGCGCTCTTTGGGACTTCAGTTCGGCAGACTATCGGCTAATGAAGGCATCCACCCGCATCGTGGATGCCGAGGCAGACAGATTGGTGAAGAAGTGCTTAGAAGATCCCAAGCTTGCGGAGCGGAGGGACTTGCTGGCGCTCTTCCTGCAAGGGAATTTCAGCCCACAATTCACCAAGCAGATGGTCTTGCACCTCATCATTGCCGCGGGCTTAGGGAAGACCCTGTCATCCATCCATTCCTGTTGGGCAGACACACATGAGTTGAAGATACATGCTGAGGGATCCAGCAACTCAACTTTACCTGTTTGATGTTGTTTTTTTGTTTCTTGGGTGATAGTCATCAAACCACAACACTGAGTCTTTGAGGAGGCTGAGAAAGTGGGGGGAGAACCCATCAGCTAGTTGACCTGCCCAAGGCTGGAAGGGACACGACGGCCTGCCTCTTGTCCTGGACCTTCTACGAACTCACCCGAAACCCTGAGATCCAGAAGCGGCTGCATGAAGAGATCATGCAAAAACATCCAAAAGGCAGCGTTCCGGACTGGAAGAGCCTTTCTGCCAGTGAGATGCCATATCTCAACGGCGTGCTTTATGCCCCTTGGAATGAACACAGAAAAGGGCGCGATGTTGCTGGTCTCAGGTGGAAAGCTAGCATCACGCATCATTGCCCGGACTGAAAAGAACATGTCATAATTGAAAGGAGTAGAGACACAGAAGACAAAACAATCTCGCATGAAGATCCCTTCATTTGTTCCGTCACCCGTTTCTATGACACTTCTTCCTTCGCTTTGTTGTCCCGCTCGATGTCGGTCTAGCCCAGATCGATCTCGAGTCCACAGCACCCGACCCACAGGAGGCCTTGCGGCTTTGGCCTCCAGTGCCTAGCGACCCCAAGATGGCTTACGAAGATGACGTGCTCCCAGGCGGATGGGCCGTGCCGAAATATGCGAAGGTTCTGTTCAGTGCCTCGCCGGGTCAGGTTTTTCTCGGGGGTGGAGGAGGAGGAGGCTTTTGGGTCGGGCTTGGCGGCATGTGAGGGCATGGACTTTGGATGAAGATGAGAGTGAACATGGGCAAAAATATGTTTAAGTGGTTTCATATATCGAGTTTCGGATGGCTTCGGGTCATCGTGACGAGGTGGAGTGTGACGACGTGTCGTTTTCCCTCAACCCAACGACTCTAAGAGTCCCAACGACTCAGGCTGTGCCACACAACCCTTTTCAAGATGGCTTCAAGCTGGTCAAAACTACTCGTGGCCCTTCCTTTCCAAGGATTTCGGGGGCTTGTGCATAGCCGGCCATAGCCTCCCTAGCCTCCCTAGCCTGCCGGTGAGCTCTTCTCTTCATGAGGATGGTGAGCTTGTGGTGAGCTCGGATTCCGAATCCAAGGCAATCGTGCCGGAAACGAGAACGTGCCCGACCACCCGAGGTCCCTACAACATGGGCCGCGACCCGGAGCGTTATCCCGAGCCCTTGGACTTCCGCCCAGAGCGATGGATCCCCTTCACGCCGCGATGGAAGCAAAGAGACGATGAAACGGTATGAAACGAAGTGGTTCTTGGCATTTTGGGGGGGTGCAAAAGAGAGCAACGGAAAGAAATAGAACAATAATACAAGAACCTACAGGGGTCCAGAGGTGTTGCAGGAGTGCTTGAAGGTGTTTAAGGGCCGGTATTGACTGGATTGAACCATGTGGGACATGGACTGGCTTGGGGGGTATATTAAAAACATTCAAACACCATTACAGTAAACAACTCCATGCAAACTGGAGTGGAAACCTTCGGAGTGATTCTGCCTCAAAGTTGTGGGTTCCATGTGTAAGGTGGGGTGGTGCCGGAGTTTGGGTCATAGCAGTCACAGTCCCTTTGAGGAGCAGATGCCCAAAGCCAACCGGAAGTGACATCCACTCATGAATTCTTGGTGAAGAGCTCCAGGTCTACTAACCCAAACCCTAGGGTTCCAACAGCTCTCATGAACAGTTTCTACTGGGTTTGTTTAGAGGGCCTAACGAGTCCCAACACCTTCCATGTCCGGGGTTTTCTTAAGCTCGAGGCCACCAGCGCCGCACGAGTTCCCGGTCTTCCAAGCTGGTCCGCGCATTTGCTTGGGCCGCTGGGTGTTCAACATCGAATCGAACGGATGAAGGCAGAGATTGGAACGGATGAAGCCATGGCTTCGGGATTCTTCTTTAACCAAGATAGGTTGAACATGGTTGAACAGCCCTATACTAAAGCCCATCCCATATGTACCACTACAGGGTCCGATATGGTCTCTCAACCTCTCTTGGAAGTCCGGAAGGGTTCAGATCGGACTGGTGGATGAAGCAGGTTTGATGGACATCTCGGACTGGTGAAGATGTGAAAACGACGTGAAAACGCCATGAAAAGGCCGGGGTTTTTCAGGGCTCGTGGCATGCATCCCTAAGTGTAGATCCATCGTACGAAGACCGAAGAGTGAGGTGAAAGTGATTCGGAATTCGATTGCCAAACCCTGGTAGCTTGACCTGGCTGGTAATCAGTTCGTTGTCGGTGGTCGGTCCACTGGCTTGAACCCATAGCCGACCATGGTCAATCCACAAGGTTGATGAGACTTTGACCATGCAAGCGCGGGCGCGTCGCAGCACCTTACGATCATGTTGTCGCCCCCTCCCCACGATCATGTTTGGTACTGGACATGCTGCTGTTTAAAATGCACAACAATGATAACCGTATCACGCAGTGACGTGTAGATTCTTTCAGATATGATTTTAAGTATCGCTTCGTGGCACAGACCGGGCAGTTCACCTTTTTTGCATTGCGTTCTTCCGCCTATTGAGGCACTTTTCAGTATCTTCAGCATGGCTAGACTACTAGAATCGAACTCATTGATATTATATAGGGCAGACGTATACAAGACTGTAGGGTGCATACGCCATGCATATGTTTGACCACGATGTGACCATGCTTTTTCCTGTCGCCCAGGTATGGACATGGCGTTGTTTGAGGCTAAGACCTTGGCCGTGGAGCTCTTGCGGCACCTGTGCTTTGAGATGGTGCCAGGGCAAGACATCACCTATGGCAATAAGGTGACCATGGACATCAGCAGCGCCCTGCCGAACCGTTGAGTCCATGAGTCCTAAAGAAGAACGCCAGACGTTGGTGGAACAAGGTTAGCAGAACATGGTCTGATATGGGACATGTTCATGTGCAAACGTTTCTTCCTTCCTCAAGTAAGGCAATGGCAAGGACGAGTTCATGGTTCATGTGAAGAGTTGGTAGAAGCGGAGAGGCACCACGTCTCATGAAGCGAAAAGTCTCTCGGAGAATGGCTGGCTTTGCTGACCTCCCTGATGAGTACCTCTTCAGCAAGACCTGAAGACGTGTGATCTTCCATACACTTCCTCTTGGCTTTGGATGAGCATAGCTGACGGAACCACCGGGCAGTTGGCCCGTGGTGTCCTCAAAATCCTTTTGTTCTCATTTGTTTCCTCAAGGCACACAGAGAAGTCGCCCCAGCGAGCGTTGCTCATCCCAAAGCTTTGAAGGAGGAGGGCGGCCCCATTTCAAGAGTCGATTTCCTCGTTTGCTGGTCCAGCTGGCCCCAATCACAGCGGAGTTGGACGACGATTGCTTTGAAAAGAGGTCTCATGTGGCTGCCAGTTGCAGGTCTCAATGGGTCTCATTGATGGAACTGTGAGGGGAGTGGACAAATACTTGGTTTTGTCAAGGGTATCCGTAAAAGGTGTGAGGAAGGCGGAGCAAGCTTCACCTGTGCGAATTCGTCATGAATAGCTTCACTGATCACGAAAGCTAGCCTCAGCTAGCTGGAGTCGCTCTTGCTTTAGCAAGTTGTTTGAGAGGGTGGAAGGCAACCTCACAGACCTCAGAGTAATGGACCCCCCCTCCGCAGGTTCAACTCCCACTGGCGGCGTCGTTACTGGCTGAGTGTGACGGGGTTTGATGAGTGGTTTGATGCTCTCGTGGAGATGGCCATGAGCTTCCCATCCAGCAGCCTAACCTTCTCATCCAGTTGCCTCATGAACACTTTCCCATAGTATACCAGTATGCCATCACCATGCCCGTGCCTCTAATGCCACTCATCATCAGCAAGGCCAACATTGCAATCTGAGCTACTGATCCTGCTTCTGATTTGCTTATGCCCGACCTTGATCTATTGCAACTCTATGCTGTTGGACCATGACTCCCATGGTTTCCCACTAAAAAGCCTGATGTTGAAATCGCATCAACCCATGCCATGAACAACAAGACCAAACTAAAATCACACAATCTCATGGTATCTCATGGTCTTCAATCCTGATGGCCATCCACCCAGCTCCCAGGGACACCACTTCCCCTCACAACCAGAAGCTCATGCTCATTTTGCAATGGAGCAGCTGCATCAAAGATCTCGTCAAGGAATAGCTCAGTGGATAATGGATGAAACTCATGGTTCCTATCAACCCCCATGCCATGGTTCCTACCAACCCCCGTGCCATGGTTCCTACCAACCCCCATGCCGTGGTTCCTATCAAAATCTCATCCCACCAACCCTGCTTTGGTAACCCGCGCAAACGGCAGTGGCTAGCTTTCGTTCACCCCCCCTGGCCTCAAGTAGGATTTTTCCTGAAACCGCGCTGAGTTTGGAGATATGGGAGCCTGGCCTCACCAGAACACAAAGCGACACCCCCAAAGGCGATCCAAAGCTAATACAGTTCTCAAGAACACAAAGAACAGACCCAAAATGATGAGAATAATATGGAATAGATAAGAATAAAGTATATATAGTTCTAGAGGCTTCGAGGTTCATATTGAATATTCAATGAAGGTCCATGCCTGGCTCTCAGAACCCTACCGTCCTTCTTTGCACCCAAGCACGACACACACCAGAACACCGGGCGAGCCAGTAGGTCCTTCCCTCAACGGAACGGCGACGTCTTCGCCTTCACGCCCGAGCTCAACGAGGTCTTCATGCACGGCGTGCCGAGGGCCTCTTGGACGTGACGAGGGAGGCGGTGTCGGTGACGAGGCGCAGGCGCTCAGTTTAGGAACTGTCCCTCCTGCAAAAAGGACCACATTGGAGGCTCAAAGCCACTTGGTTGTAGAGGAACATTGAGAAAACATGATCTTCCAGGGAGTGGTTTTCAGGGTCCATGTTGGTTTGGAAGGAGGGTGGAACCGGAACCCAGACTCTGTCGGAGGGGTGCTGTGTCACGGTGTGAAACACCCATGTCAACAATGGGGCACTTACATGCACTTGATTGAGTCAAGGATCCGTGTCCTCCACAGCACTGTTTTGACTGATCACCGTGTAAGTGGTGAATCACATGTAATGAACTGAAGATACACTCCGACTCCGACGAACACATCACATGGAAATGGAGTTCACCACCTGTTTGTAGAGGAGTTCATGGTCTTCACAGGGGCCATGCCATCCACTTCCATGTTAGTGAGTCAGAGTGTACACCAGTGGATGGTTTTGGTCAACACTTCTTCCTTTGTACTGCCTCAATTGTATCCTGAGGGTGCACTGGCGGTTTTTGAAATTGCGAGACTACAAAAAAGTTGTTTTGAGAAACCTGCCCGCAGCAGCTGATGGTCTTTTCTCCCTTCTGCATTTGCAAGTTGTTTTTGAGGGGGGTCAGGGAACAGGAGAAACATGGAGAAACATTTCACAGCAGACATATTGTTTTTACATATTCCTGGAGTGGGGGGCTAGTTTAATTTATATACAGGTCATTGCACTCCATTTGCATCTTCTTGGCTTCTTAGTTGGTCATACATCAGGGGTTAGCAGCAAGGGACAAACATTCTCCAGTGTGAGCTCCTCCATTTCCAGTTCAGAGGGGGATCTACCACTGCAAGCTTCATGTGAATCAGAGATTGTGCACAGGCAAGTCTTGGAGGCTCAGAGAAGTCGTAAAGTTGTTGAGCGCATCCAAATTGGCCATTGAGAGTTCGCCAACATATCAAATACATTCACTACTAGGAGCAAAGGGCATCGCTACTAGGAACAAGAACGCTACTAGGGGCTCCTGGCCTTACTATATACTAGGAACAAGGACGCTACTAAAAAATCCGAGATACAAAGTCTTTACCAGTATTTACCAGTCCTTTTTGTGTAACTGCTGGCGGCAATCCTTAAGGTCAAAAGAACCAAAGTACACATATTTTCCACAAACTCTGGGGGTCTCTTCCCTGCATCACCGCCGGGCACCGCCACTAGGTGATGCCAAACTCACCGAGCGCCTGCGAACCCGACGACGCCCCACGGATGTCGCTGATCCTCTGGGGCGCGCGCGTGGCAACGGCGGCTCCAGCGGTGGCAACGGCGACGGTTCGCGCTGCGGTGGGCGAAGTGTGAGGGCGGCTGGGGGGTGGAAGCTCCAGGCACACCTGAAATCAGTTGAGATGCTGATGATGGATTGGAGGTCATGGGCCATGAGTTATCATGAGTTCATAACTTCAGAAATTCAACTGATGTTCTAGGTGACTTCATGCTACATGGCTGTGTTATTCAATGTATTTCAATGTTATTTTTATCTATGTCACTTTTCTGAACTGCAAGACTCTTGGAGTTTGGGTGGAGGAAGACCTGATTGAAGAGTTGATGTTTCTTGTGATAAAGAAATGCATACTTTCCAGGGTGCCTCTGGCGTTCGCCCGGGGTGTGATGTTCCTTTTGGGGTGGGTCTCGGCCAGTTCGCGGAGAGCTCTGGGGAAGTTGAGAGGCGGCCGCGCAGAGAAAAGGCGACGCCCGGCGATCGCCCGCTGCGTTGTCGGGCGGAGGGAAGGTCGTTGAATGCGGTAGCACGCGACATTGCTTTCCCCGAACAATTTAGCATGCTTCAATATGCTTCACCCTTTTCAATGGTGTGTAGAAGTTCTCCCACGTTCTCCTGAATTCCGGCTGTTTTGTCTCTGAACATCTTTCAAGACAAGTCAGTTGAGGAAGTGGATATGGTGTTGGGACCTGCTATGGAAACTCACTCCGGAAGTGCAATGGACACCTGGCACCCGGTGTGGCCCCCGGGTCGCCGCTACGTAGCACCAAGGTCGGCAAGGGATGGGAAGCTCGTCGAGCGCCTTCTTCGCGCAGAATACCTCCTTTAGGCGGCAGGGGCACGGGGGACGCCGAGTCGCCAAGGACCGTGCATGGAGGCCCCTACTGGAGCTAATACACTCTGACGTACACATCACATGGAAGTGGAACATGGCCGCCTTGGAAGATGATGGATTTCCCCCTTCTATGTGATGTGTTCGTCAGAGGGTAGTTATTAAGATCCAGGTGACACCTGGGCCGAAACATGTCCAAATTTGAAGGTTTGAGTAGGGGGGCGGTTGCTTTCAAGCATGCCTTGCTCTTGATGGATCTGGAAGCGTTCGTGGGCCACTGCCTAGCAACTCCCCAAGCCTCACAGTTGCAAAGGTGGATTCTGCAATCCCCTAAAAAGATGAGTGAGCTTGACACACATGAAGCACTACTTCATAGTTAATTAGTAAGTATAGTTTCTTTGTGCCTCCTAGTGGATGAGAATCTTGTTTGTTCAAGACCCGTTTCAGATGACGTCGTTGGTTTCTGCAGACGACTTCACAGTGACCCAGACCGCTGCACCACTGCCTCACTGCCTCAGCTGCTCACCCGTAGACCGAGGCAGCGGGGCATCATGTCCGAAGTGGTGAAACCCCATAGGCGCGATGGTCTCTGGGTCTGGGTGCAGAGCAGGTGCAGAGGTTTGGGGATGGGAGGATGGTGGTCCTGTCCATGCCGCAGAGATGGGCACCTAGACTTAGATCATGCTTGTTCTTATTGCCAGAAGTTTGAGATGCACAAGTTGAAGGGGCAAAAGAAGAGTGGAAAGGGAGATGATCAAACTTCCAGCACTTCTTCTATCTCAACTCCAGCATGGTTGTTGATGTTGCATTCTTTGTTTTGGTCATGTTTGGTCTAATCTCTTCATCGGTTCCCTTGTGTACGTTTCTTAGGGGTATCAAGCCCTTAATAACATGGATTCCCCACCCCCTTAAGGCTCCCACAGCGGGTGATGCCTCAAAACCTTGAGATGTCTAAGGTCACGCGCCATCGTCCGCCATCGTGCTCACCGGGACCGGAGCCCACTTCCAAGGGCTCTCGAGGTCCCCTTCAACCGAGAAGAACACCTGACATCTCCACGCTGCATGGACTCCAGCTAAAGCTACATCAATGTACATGCCTTGTCATGCCCCAACAAGAACCGGTTCCTCCGTCCACCCTCGCACCACCGCTTTCGTGCCGCGTGCACGACCGGTGAGGCGTCAGGAGGTGGACTCCTGCAAGTTGGGCCCCGAGGAGCTCGGCACCTGCTGCAGCACTCTACGGAAGTTTGTGGGCTCAGTGAGAGCAGAGAGGTGGACGTGAGGAATTGGACATAGGACTCAATCATTCAGTTAGCAGAACTAGTCATAAGCAATCAATATTATATAAGATGTTTTTGCTTATACATGGTGGCACTGGGTGCGCAGAGCTGCCGCTGGGGCAGTGGAGTTGTGGCCTTGTTGTCATTTTCGCAGGTCAGCCAGTGCCACCAGCTTTAGCCTCTCAGATCGTTTGCGCGCCAAAGCGCAAGAGGCACAGCACGCCAAGCGTGATGAATCGGGTGATCCATCTCGGGTGATTCTGGCGGTTCTGGAGGGCGGGGGATTGAACGCGGTAGTTTCAGTGCTGAGACTGGTTTTTGGTTACTTTGGTTTCAAGAAGATTCAAGAAGTAGATGGCACAAACCCCAAACATGTTTTTTGTTGTGGGGAGTGTGCCATCTACTCTTAATCCACTAGCTCTAGTGGATGGGGTCCACCACATTACCCTCTTTTGAATGGACCCCAGCGTCACTACCCTTCAAGGTGTTCACGTGAGCGACCCAATCTGAACCAAGAGTTGCATGCAGTTCCCAGAAATTGACGTTCAAAGGCTTCAGCCGAATATTGATCATGTTGCAGACCTCTTAGAGTTGTAGATGCTAATGCACTCTGTTAGAATGCGCCCACAGGTACGGACATCAAACACCCACAAGTCGCGGCCCACTAAGACCTTAGATACACCTTAGCAGCATCACTTGGTGTGCCCTTTCCGGGGGGGACCTTTGGATGATTCATTGATTTTTGTTCTATAGGTTTTAATCTGTATGTTTCAATATGATATAATATGTTTAATATGATCTGTTGAACATGTATATGTCAATACCATTGATGTGTTGTTTCAACATGTTTCACCTCTTTTTGCCCAGAACACCGGACCGTTCCATACCGTTCCGACCGTTCCGACCGTTGCCAGGCCGAGCCACACACGCCGCGGAAGGTCTTCCAACCGGTGGAACCCAAGGTGCCGAGAGAGAACTCAGTGTGTCCCGAAAACTCCGACACATCCGAAGAGCTCAGACACGACCTGTCTGGGACTGCTATAGGACTGCCGCCCCAGACAGACCCCTCTGGCACCACCCCAACTGATTGGTAAATTCCGGTAAATATGACATAGAAACGAGGATCAACCTGGAAAGGTGATGAATGTCCAGACTCCAGACGGCTTCAAAAGCAATTTGTTTCATGTTTTGGAGAGAAGAGTTGATTGGTCCATAATTTTGTTTTGGGGTCACTATATTGTTTGGGGCAAGCTCGATCCAATAAGTGCAGCATATTTGAGTGAACGATTCTGACAGCGGGCATGTCTATATTTACTGTATATTGTATTATATCATATTACTATTATTTGCGTGGAAAGGTTGAGCATGTTGCAAGGCCGCACCCGCTCCTTTATCTAAAAGAGTTCGTTCATGTTCATTTTCTGCGTCCGAAAGACTAGATGATTCCAACATAAGCGGTAGCGCCAGACGCCAGACCTGTTGTATCTGTTGTGGATCCGATCGAAGTTCATCGAAGTTCCGTTTGTTGACGTTGCACCAGGCCGCAATGAGCTGCCGGGACGCCGTCCTTTGAACCCCGCAGGTCATCGAAGTCTATGCCCACAAGCCAGGGGATCGGCCTCGGAAGGCTCGCGGTGATCGGCGAGTGATTGGTCACTTACAGTTGGGCCATGACTCCCACCCACTATGAGGGTGGCTTGGAGGAAGATTGTTTACATGGGGCCTACATAGACCCGTGGAGGTTTACACAAGGAAGAGGCCTAAATCTCATTTTTCATTTGTCCAACTGGCGGTTTGCGGGCGCTTTCGCTGGCAGGTGACCGTGGAGCGACGGCGGAAGTGGTTTGAAGCGTTGGATGCGCCTTGGATGCCATGGAAATGGACCCCGTTGGAGGGCCCTTGCTTTTAGAGTAGATGGCACAAGATACCCCAAGTTTAGTGGCGCAAGTATGGACCATACAAAAGACATGTAGGGGTGCCAGTGTCGAGTCCATCTACTCTGAAACGACTGTAGAACGAGGAGAACTCAGAAGGGCAAGCCGGTGGCCCGACAGATTGCTCCCCTTTTTTTTGTTTCCCACAATTCAGTGTGCTCATGGTTCGCGAGAGACGGCGGGTGAGAAAGGCTGTCCAAAGCCATGCGGATGGGCGGGTGCTGCATGTGGATTCCACTTGCCACTCATGTGGCCCATGAGTTATGTTTATATGGAGGAATACACAGGGAGAGAGAGAGAGAGAGAGATTGTTGGAGGTCCATCCACCATGTTGGGTTCATCCCGGATGTTCCAGTCCACTTGCCCTTATCTTAAGCCCTTCGCAGCCCCCAACAACGAGCTACTACAAGGCTGACCAACATGAACCAAGATTGGTGACCAACACGAGCCTGGAAAAGGACGGGTTGGGAGATCTTGAAGGACTACGTCATGACTACGTGTCTGGAAAAGGGCACCCGTGGGCATCCCACACTCCCACACCCCTATTGTGTGCAAAGCATGAGGAGCAAGGACGCTACTAGGAGCAAAGGGCATCGCTACTAGGAGCAAGAAGCTACTAGGGGCTCCTGGCCTTACTACAGGAGCAAAAAGCTACTAGGAGCAAATGGATCCAATATCCTTGGACAATCAGATCTCAACACCAATCGGGTGGCCGGCTTCCAGGTGGAGAATCTGCTGGAGGAGCGGAACTGCAACTTCTCACCCAACTGGGATCGTGAGCTTGGACCGCCCAGCAGCGTAGCGTGGATGGAGCAGGGAGGTTTAGGGTATTTGTATATTATATATATATATATTATATGTATGCAGTAGGGGCGAATAAACCCACGACATCGTGCAGCATTTTTTGAGGTGCGAGGCTAAGGCGGGGTGAAGGTGTTCCAGGTCAGGATGCTTGGATGAGTCCTTGCCTTTGAGGCTTAGGAGTGATGAGGTCGTGGCCATGAAAAAAGACGCAAAAAGACTTGAGTGTCAGCCAGAGGTGGGATCTCTTCAGGGGTGGTTGTATGTCTGAAAGGTGATTTGCAAACCACCGCCCCAATCACTTCCCCCACTACCAGGCATCATTTGGACCTTATTACCCTCCCTCCAAGAAACATGGAGGGTTGTCCAACCCCTTGTTTGCGGGTCGGCACATGGTCTTTCCAGGTCATGTTCCACTTCCATGATATCCTGCATCTCCAGCCGTAGTATCGTATGCCTCAAGTAAAGAAAGCCCTGCCAAACATGTCCTAAAGAGTCCGGAGCAGAACTCCCAAGCAGAAGGGATCTAGAGATCCATCCTTGCACCGACCGATGCCGACGGACCCGTAAACTGGTGCCTGGCCGCCCAGTTTCTGGCTGCAGCTGGATGACTTCAACAACATCGAGTATGACATCCGAACTCCCGAGCAGTGGCTGGAGTTCGGGTGCCCGAGATGCTCGGTTCTGGACCACAGCCCCCCCCCCACTGTGGTTCAAAAAACTAAGGTGCTGTTTGGCTTCAAAAGTGGGTTTGTACAGTTCAAGAAAGGGATAAAAGGATATAAAAGGCGAAGAGCAGATGACTGTTCCCAAAAGGCATTTTTGAGAATCGTTGTTCTTGGCCGGGTGGGGGGAAGAGTTTCATTCTCTAGGCCCTAGCATATCTAGCAACATTGACCCAGAAAGTCCGTTCTGGTCATTAGACTGGGCTTTCTGAAAAACACCATATAATACGTATTATTGCATTAGACTGACACCTCTCATTCCTGAGCGTGCCTCTTCAACCACAGGGTCACCTCGTTCGTTGCTCCATGACGGCCTCCAAAACGGCACGACCGCTGCACAGCTCCTCGGCCGTTCAAGTCGCCCAGGTTGGGACAGCAACCTGACGGTAGCTTCTTGCCACTGCAGGCCGATGTCCAGTTCCACTTGTGCAGAAGTGATGGGGCCTTGTGCCTGAGCTTTTGAGCCAGCTCAGTTCTCATAAAGGACGGTCCTTGGGCAGTCCTTGCACCTGGAAACTTCGTCATCCATAAACAAAAAAATATATACCATACCGCTTTGGAAGATGTGTACTGCTTTTCGTGCGCATGTGACTCGTGTTCAAAATGATCGTCAATCACTTTATGTTCCCTTGCATGTTTCCTTGCATGTGTTCTTTAATTCGGCTGCATGTTTATGTTACTAGGAACCCCCACCCCCCAAGTACCTCCTCCTTCCTCCGTGCCATCTTTCAGGCCAAGGCGATGCGCTTCCATGAGACAAAGGGCTCTGTTTGGGAGGAGGGAGCGTCGACTGTTGCGTGGCGTTCGTTTTGTCTGTCGAGCGCGGGACGTGGAACTGGAAAACATGATGTGTGGAGCCCTTGGGGCAGAAGATAGGTTTTTGGTTGTTTCTTCTTAGCAGGCCCGACCTTTGAACACCTCTTCCCGGAAGGGAGAGACATTAGTATCATTGTTATGTAGCTTTGGGGGAGTGCAAGCATTCCTGAGTAAAGATGAGTAGAAGATGGAGAGGGCAAGGGAACAGACGGAACATCCTAGACCTGCATTCGTTGGGCCCAGGACTGCACAGTGGAGGGCTTGAAGGACCCGAGATCGCCGAATTCTCAAGTTGCTGACGCGTTGGGAGGACGACGTTGTTTCTTTCTGAATCACTATGCATGGAACCCCCTTTTAGTGAACCTGTCCAAAAGTGTTTTGGAACCGGATTCATGCTAAGTTCCCCATAAAAAGAGCCACAAAAGCATCCGGTCCATACTGCAAGAACTCTGGCACTCTCAGACCTCCTGTTCTGTTTGCATTCGTAGTTATAATCCTTTGCACCTTCACTCCTGATGAACATAGAGCCAAACAGCCAAAAAAGGGGGCTGCAGAGGGGTTGTGCACCCAAGATCCCAAACATCCATCCAGGTTTTTGAGACTTCCGAGGTGCCATAGATTGGGAAGAAGGCAAATGACCACAGTGCCTCAGTGGGAAGGGACCAGCCATGAATGACCACTGCGCGTGTTTCGTGCAGGACCTGCAAGATGGCAAAGGGAACAAGGACTTTTTGGTCCGGTGGAACTCCAACCCTCGCGCTCGGGCGCCCCGGAGAACGCACCAGCTGAAAACAGCTGAGGCGAACGCGCCCCCCAAAAATGGTAAAATGGGGGTTCTGGGGAGTTTTGGTTCATCAATCACCTCGTTGAATTTTCTTGGCTCTTGAACATTTGTCTTGAGCCTTTGTCGTTTTTCTGGGGTCTTGTTATGCGTGTTTTAGGGTCATAACTTTCACAAAATTGTTTGCATTGAATGAAGGGGATAATTGTTGAGGTGGTCAGAGTTTCTATGTGTAGGTTCAGGTTCAAATTCTACCAAGTTGTTCTTCAAAGATGTCGAATTAATTGCTTCAAATTCATGTATTGATTGAGGTTAGGCGCTGTGGTTCCTGTTTGGTTTTGCATATCAAGCATCCTTCAATCCAAAGTCAGTTTGGCACAAATTGACTGAACCGATGTATTGTCCTGTTTCTTTGACATTCCGCAGATGCATCTTTGTGAGGCAGGTTCAGCTTGCGCCAGGCCGGTTCGTCCTTCCAAGCGGTCATGCACGAACACAGCCTGCAAGGGCTTTTCCGGCGCAGACCGTTAAAACTGGTTGGACTTTGTTGAGCACAGGGAGCGTCGTAGTGCTGGTTCTCCAAGCTCTTATTCAAAGGTTCCTTCCTGGCTTCTTCATGAACAGGGCAGTGAGGAAGGCTGGGCAAAGGCTGGAAAGGACAGAGCCCGCCCCTGCACGGCCGCTCGAGGAGGAATACATTAAGGACCACATCAACTCACCTCAACGTAGTTCTTGGTGGTCAGTGGTTCCCGAGGCATTGGGAAATCAACCATGCTGAACAATCTCATGTGTAAGCATGTGAAAAATGGCAAACGGGTGCTGCCGCTCAAGATGTCAAGCCGTCCTGGTGAGGACTTGAAGCTCAATGAAGCGCTGCCCAAAGCATTGCAAGCAGTAAATCTGCCGCGATACTACCCAGAACAAGTGGAGGATATGCTGGAAAAGGTGAATGAGACGTCCAAGCGCCGAACAGGCAGTGCTGTCGCGGTGCACCTGCAACTCACACCCAAAAGCCGCGGAGACAAATTTAGTAGGGATGCCTGTGATGACATTGCTTCCACCCTCGGCGCCTTCGCTCGCCATCACCTACGACAATGCCGCGTGCAAGTTCTTTTTGGATGTTTGCGGTGGCGGACATCGTCGAAGCTATTGCGGGGGACACACACTCTGACACTTGTATTCAGTGAACTCAGTTCCCACGCTGGGAAGGAAGGTGACAGAACTGCATGGTGGAGAGTCCGAAAGACTTGTAGGTGTTTCAACAAGTTGTTGGTCAAGTCTGCAGAAACGATCGATCGGCGCGGCTCTGCTGCACTACAACGCGGCTGCAAAAAAAGGTTTAGGGGGAGGGATCATGCAAGGACCATGAAAACAAACCAGAGGAAAATTGGTGTCACAGCTTGCAATCAAGGCAGGTACGCTGGGATGATCAGTCCCAGTATCACCAGGAAATCGAGAGTGTCTTCGTTGGTGGCAGACTCTCGTTCCTGCTGCCACCCCCTGCCTAGTAGAAAAGGTTGGTGGTGAGACAGTCGGTCGAAACCCTTTGTCCAGGGGTGGACACACACAGGTCGCCGGCTTCGGCGCTGTTTCGGCGCGCATGTGAGAAAAAAACTAAATAGGCACCTAAAAAGCCTCTTAGAAACAAAAGGAAAGAAAGACAGAAAGAGCAGCGCTACGAGGGGAAGAAAGAAAGATAGGTGTAGTTATGAGGCCCACTAGTTACAAAACCTTCTAGTTACTGACTACCTAGCACTCTAGTTACTGAATACTTAGCCCTTGACTTGAGGGAACGGAAAGAAGTGCTGGGTCCGATCAACAGAAGCTTTCAACAAGAATTAGTTACTGACTACTTAGCAGGTCTTAATTAGGTGCAATAGTTAGGGAGCGAGACTTTAGTCTTAGACCGCCCGGGTAGGAAAGACTAGAAAAGGAACAACACAGGGAAAGGCACCGACACACAAGTGTGTCGAGTACCATTTCCCTATGTTGCCCCAAATAGGTAGGGAGTAGAACTCAGCGGGGGGGGGTTGGGGAACCTGCCTCATTGGGGGTTTAGCAATTGTGGAAAAACAACGTGCATGACTGATCTGAAAGCTGGTGGAAGAGAAAGTTACCGTATTTCGCCCAGCGGCCAATGCATCAGTTGATTCAAAGGGCGTGTCAATGACTTCCAGTGGAAATCCGGTGAGAGGTGGCATGTTGGGTTGGTTGCTTTCCGATGTAAAAACCGCGCCCCTGTGACGGGGATCACACTCAGCACCCGAGTGGGACGGCTGAGCGAAACACACTCTGACACTTGTATTCAGTGAACTCAGTTCCCACGCTGGGAAGGAAGGTGACAGAACTGCATGGTGGAGAGTCCGAAAGACTTGTAGGTGTTTCAACAAGTTGTTGGTCAAGTCTGCAGAAACGATCGATCGGCGCGGCTCTGCTGCACTACAACGCGGCTGCAAAAAAGGTTTAGGGGGAGGGATCATGCAAGGACCATGAAAACAAACCAGAGGAAAATTGGTGTCACAGCTTGCAATCAAGGCAGGTACGCTGGGATGATCAGTCCCAGTATCACCAGGAAATCGAGAGTGTCTTCGTTGGTGGTGAGACAGTCGGTCGAAACCCTTTGTCCAGGGATGGACACACACACACGAACAACACCCCTCGCATCACTGGAATTGCCTTTAGACGATTGCAACGATTCAGACGAACGATTGAGAACAACATTTACATTCCGTCAATAAATCATGGAAGTGGAAAAAACAAAACCTGGCCATTGCCCACTTCATGACTTCCATTATTGTTTCAGGGATAGTATCCCAAATAGGACCATTCTCGAAGCTTATAGTCACAGTGAAGTCTATGCTATGCCAACCCGGCAAAGCATAGAATCAAGAAAAACTAACTACCCTCACCTCCAAAACTTTTCACTCACAAGAGAGGACTGTTGGTCTTGGACCAACATGAAACACCCATTCCTCACAAACCCTTTTTATGAAACGTCCGTCCCTCAAATCCTTTCCAGGTAGGATTTCCTTGGGCATCCGGAATTCTTGGCGCGCTCAGGGGGACTTGGAGCCCGTGGGCCGGCTGAGAATTGTCCTTCAGGGCGAAGATCCAGAGGCGGGGAAGATCCAGCCTTGTGGAAGTGCCTAGCTTCGAAACCTCCTGGTGGGAGAATGTTTTTTGTGGAACATGTTGTGACGAAGATTGTTGTGAAATGTGCACTGTCCAAACATGTGTGGAGTTGATCGGAATATATTCATTTATGTGTGCTTTTGCCTCCTCTCACTGTCTCTCCTCCTCATTCAGCCACCATGGTAGAGCACATCTCAAACGCCCACAAGCTCCATGGACACTGGCTCATTTTGCAACATTTGCCCTGCACTGTTCAATTCGTGTTTTTCTCATTCTAGGTCACTGGACTGGCTCTTGGGCCGGAGAAGAAAGTGGCCGCCGCCTCACGATGAAACCGGAAGATCCAATACCTGGATTGAGTAATGAATTCCAGCAGAGGTTGAAGAGTTGAAAAACCCTATAGAGTATACTATAGGTACCCCTGTAGGGTCCTATAAGGTCACTTAACCTTTGTTGGTTTGTCTCACGTGAGGAAGATCCACCGCCCTTGAAATCGGATCGGCTCGGATCTTGACCGACCCGTCGTTGTGCGCGACCCAGCGTTTCTGTGTGCACGCGCAGGTGTTCGCCGACCGGATCGCCTATGCGTTTGATGCGCTACAAAAGGCGGGCTGTTTCGGCTTCGCCAAGTGTGGTTCGTGGGAGTTGGTGAAGCTTGGGGTAGCAGGTCCTGAAGGCTTCCAGTTGTTTTTTTTTTGAGGGGACGCAGAGGTGGTGAATCCGTGGAGCAAAACCGTGAATCCGCTTGGACCTGCTTTGACCGAAAGGTGGACCGACCATTGTGGTGTAGGACATGTTAGGACATTGAATTCGGAGATGTTTGGCACTCTTACCTGGAATTTTTTGCGGTGCACGCATGCAGTGCACAAAGCACATTCGTTGACTCGGGGCCAACATAAAAGGCTGAGAAACGTAATCATTGTCCAAAGTTGCTCTTGATTTGCCAGGCTCAGGCGAGGATTCGCTTGAACTTCTTCGCGGCCTGGCACAAGATTACCCGTGATGCTGTACTCTGGTGTTTGCAGGCTATCTCTCAATGAGCTGCCCGAGACCCGCAGCATATTAAGGGGACAAGCAGGATTCGCCCGACCCAGTGGTGGAACTCTGTATGCCCCAAGCAGGTTGAGATATGATGAGATAAGCCATAGTAGCATCAGATCAAGAAAAAGATGATCTTCGAATGACAATGAGACATCTAACGGTTATATAGTGGTGTAAAGGTCTCATTGAGGTGAATCTCACTCACCTTGGGGATGAATCTCCCATTTCGCATCACGGCTGCCTAGATAGATAACATGCCCGTGGATGACATCCAGACGCTTGACGAGGACCAGGCATGCTCCTCAGTGCAGCACGGAAGGCGGCCATGGTCACATGCTAGTTGGGGACCAACGAAGGATCATCCTCCTGAAAAGGGACATAGAAAGGTAAGACCTCTCAAAGGGAGAGGTTAAGTTAAGACTCCCTGTTTTGTCTAAAGGGACGCCCTTCAGCGTTGGAACTTGCGGCCCATGTTGCCATCAGAAACACCTTTCAGTCACTGATGCTTAACCTCCGAGGTTGCACGGGTGCTGACCTCAGCCTGGGCTTACCGCTGCCCCATGCGGGAGAGGATCAGTTGAAGTGACGATTTTTTCCGAGAAATGATGACCCTGGTTTACAGTTCTACACACACACATCATTCCTTGCAAAGCAAGAAGTTGTATCAGGTTTTGGAAATTGGAAGGTGCAACCCAGTCTTCTGGAGGTTTAATTGGACGGCCTTGCTCGCATGTGACGGGATTTTGGGCACTGGCACGCGCACGGCTAACTATAGATGTGAAGCCTCAACCACCCTCGAGGATATTCAGCGAATCAAATGTTCTGGCCTTTTTCATATGGCATGGGTCTTGAAGAGTGTGGGGCTTCCACACATGTCATGTCTAGCCTTCAAGTATGCCGGGATCCGGGATGCATGTAAGTCGCCTTTAGATTGTTCCTGTACAGGCACTCTGGTTATTTAGGTGAAAGTGGCTTCTTGGCAGATGATGATGATGATGATGATGATGATGATGATGATGATGATGATGATGGTGATGGTGATGGTGATGGTGATGATGATCATCATGATGATGATGGTGATGGTGATGGTGATGATGATGCCGATGCGTTTCCTTCGCCTCTCATGTTGTTCTTAGTGATGGCAAATGTTAGTGGACCAAACCTAGTAGATCCTTTGGTGCAGGGGATGGTTGCTCCCTGCAGACGAGCAAATGAGCAAACACCAGTGGCTTAAGTATCAGGAGGCAAATGTTGACTGCTGATGAAGAAAACATTCAAACACCGTCCAAGCCTGGAGGTTGAAGAGCATTGCAAATTGCAAAGCCATTCCGGAGACGAGGGGCGTTTGAAGAATCAATTTCTCCAAAGGACTCCTTCCTGCTGACGGACGCGTGAGCGACGGGACCTTTGGAGGTCTTGGATCTCTCACGGAATTCTGCCGCGCTGAGAGATGTGTGTGGAGCTCAGGGTGGAGCTCAGGGCTGGCTTGAGGGAAGAACACGTTTCATTCAGAAGATGTCCATGTTTCCCCAGCCTCCCCCCTGCCATATTATATATATAATATTATATAATTGTTTATTTACTGTATTGTGAGCAGAAGAGCAGAAAGATTAGGAAAGCAACCTAGCTTCGAGTGCCAAGCAGCTCGTCCAACACACACAACACCATCCCCATAGGTACCCGACCATCAGTGACCATCGTTACCCTCAAATCAACATAGAAGTCATTTGTACGAAATTTGCTTCATATCTTCCAATCCATGGATGTGCTCCCCAAACTCACCTGGATTTTTACTGGCTCCTTCCATACATCAAACGCCGGATTCCTCGTCACACGGACCTTGCACCTTCGCCCTTCGCCTCCTCCTGCCTTGGACGATGCTCCACGGCAGGCCTGAAACCTTTTGCAACACCTTGGTGCGAGAGGCTAATCTGGACTTTGCACGGACGATGCTCGGGCCGCCCAGAGCTTCGCCGTTCCACGCGTGGTGGGAACACCACGCGGTGGGTCATCACGCCCGCACGCGGTGGGTCATCACATGCGTGACTTTGGCCGAGTTGATGTTCGGGGCTGATATCCAAGGTGCATCTACCTTGATTGGGATCGAATGGTTTTGATAAGCTAGGAGCTGCAGAATCTGAAGAATTCAAAACGATGCCTCGTGTATCCTCGTGTCAGGTTCTGGCCGATTGCATTGACAGGACCCCCTGTTCCCCGCAATGACAGGAAAAGGACGTTCTCTCCTTGAAAGGCATTCCGGCCCACAGCCTTTTGTTAAAAGATGCTTTGTTTGTCAGGGCAGGATTCAACGACCCCAAGCAGCGACCCTCAACCTGGGGCGCTTGACTCCGGGCTTCCTGGAGCCTGGAACATGACTTTTCCCGGCAAACCCACCGGTTTTTTTGGCATGTGACGCATGACATGCTGAAGAGTCTACTTCGAAGGGTCGCCCCCGTTTGGGTCCAACGAGTTTGCAGGAACAAGATCATCCTCATGAGCGATCCGCAGGCAGGGAACTATGGACTATGGAGTTCATGTGGCATGGCCGTATGCAGTTCTAGTGTGACTCCTGCAGTCCGGAGAAGCAAACAAGTAAATACAAGTAGATCAGCAAAATGTTTAGAGATGTTTAGGGGCTCTCCTGCTTTAAACGCTTGGAGACGTGCAACCTGGCATCTTCCAAAAAGAGCATCAAAGAATCTATTAAATTTGAACAGGATCACCGGGTTTCAATGCAGTTCCTGCCAGGTGCAGAAGCCGCCGGGTTACCGCTACCAGGCACGGCTTCGACAGCGGGGAGGTGACGCATGAAGGTGCTGTTGACTGGAGAAGATGCGATGACCCGTGATTCAGTTGACAAAACTTTGCCCGACAGAAATCTTGATATATATATATATATGAAATCCATGTTTTGATATGTTTTGATAGTTTTGGAACCCCTACTTATACAGCATACAAGCCAAAAACCCACAGTCTGAAGGGAAGATCATGTTTGTCCGCAGATTCTTTGAGTGGTTTTCTGATCCACTCGTCATTTTGGGTTATAAAAGGAAATCCTGCTTTCTCACTCTGCAGCCGTTGCGGCTGAATGCTTGGACCAGCAGTTCGCGCTGGGCGCGTGTCGCACGCGCGGAAGCTCGTGATGTGTGACGGGCGTTTTCAGCCTGGGGCTACACAGCTATACTATATATATATATATCATGGAAGACTAACATGGAACCTGAAAACCCCTGGTTGGTAGAGGAAAATAGTCTTTCATGGGACCATTGTCAGGGTCTATGTTAGTTTTCGGGAGTGTATATCATGGATAGTATGATAACAGATGATTTGACACCTTGGGAGATCAACCTTTGATTCCGAAAGATGGGTTTGAAAAGCCGGTGAAACGACCGGTGAAGGAACATTAGAACCTTAGAACTTCGATGCATTCGATGCATTGAGTTCCCTTTCGACCCTCCAAGGTCCTTCTTCTTGGAAGGGCCTTGCCTTGCACTCCACGAAGGCGTGGCTCCTTTGGGTGCGGGGGGGGTACCGGTAGACCCGTTTCAGAGGGATTCAGTCACCGTGTTTCAAAACAGGGAGAGAGAGAGAGAGTGGTGTATACCGGCGCGGTCGGTGGTGTATACCGCCCTTCATATATTGGTGTTATACATTCCCTAGTCGGCTTGGGCTGGTTTGACCAAGGCGGACTCAGACTCCAGACCTTGGTCCGGAGTCACCAGATCACCAGATCTCCGCCCACTGCAGGGTGGATCTTCAGCGGTCTGGTCGCCTTGCGATTTGGGCCATGGCAAGTCAGGGCACCCAGTCGGGGCTGGTCGACGTTGGATCTGCTGGGTGAAACACGGTGAGGTGGAGCTGGGTGAAACTTCGTGGAGATGGTAGAAAGGACCAAAGACAAGGCATCACTTGGAGCAACCAAGGTTTACAATGTGCATTTGTCACGGAAGGTAGTGCATGTGGCAGGGGCCACACAAAACTGAGATCATGGAAGCCCGTGCCATTCTTGCTAGCTAACCCCAACCCAGCAAAGTGTTGCTAGATTTGCCACGTGTGAGGTGCTGGCTATGCAACCACACGCGCTCCAGGCCGTCTCACTGGTTATCCTGGCGCGGTGTCAAGAGGCTGTTCGACTATACCAGGACCTTCCAAGTTAGGTGGTTCTTGGACACCTGCTAACCTCTAAGAGGCTAATATATATATTTATAGACACCTCTGGGAAGGTTGTGATGTTTTTTACTTGGTGTCTTTCAATCTGCGACCAAAAGTGCTGAGCTTGCCACGAAACATGCCAACACACCGGCGCGGTGCCAACACGTGTCGTTGTCGTTCCTTTGGTCGGCTCTCGTCGTTCCTTCGGCCCGACGGAAGGGTCCAATGGAAAGTTCAAGATTGGGCTTTGCCAGTGCGGTCACCGAGCTGAAAGCAAAAAGAACGATGAATTTGGGATCAACTCACTTGGAATCTATATTTAATATATATGCTTACAGACTTACAGATGCACAAGATACATTTGAACAGATTATAACAGATTCATGCAATGGCTTCTATTTTACTTGCTTTCTTTGGATATGTATGCAGCGAGTTGGGGTCATGGCAATACTGTGAAACTCACTGGGTTCACTAGATCAATTATAGGGCGAGGCTTATCAAAAGAAATGCTGGGTGTTGTGGCATTTGGTTGAACAATCACTGCATCCCCTTCCTTCACCGAGCTTGGGCTCACTTAGGACCCATGTGAGTTGGACCCTGAGTTGCGATGCTGCCGAAGCGTTACACACCGGAGACCCCCATCCTGTCATGGCACCCCCATCAAAACGAGTGGCTTCTGACCCAAATTCTTATTCAAGGGAGATTTACTTTGGTGTCATGTTCTATCCGTTTCCGGGGGTCACTGTCGGGTGATTTGGGGTCCATGTTTCACGGTCCCAAGTGCGAGGTGATGCATTTTTTTCCAAGTCCAGAGGCATGCACTCATCATACAAGAATCATGCATGTGTTGTTCCCACCTTGACCTTTGAAGATCTTTAAGACACCCTAATGCAATCTAATTAATGTAGACTGACAACATAATTATTCCAGTCCCATGGTGTGTTTGGCATTGAGCATGCCGTGTCGTTGTCAAGAGAGAGAGAGAGAGAGAGCGCGACACACTGTGATGATGCACTTTGGGTCCTTGGTCTAGCAAGATTCATGAGTCTTAGGTCATGACAAGAAGGTGAGCTTGGCCAATGCAAAGGCTGCCATTGAGGAAGCGGACGCTCGGCCCCGACGGAACTGAAGGAAGGAGAACTCTTTTTGATTGTTGATCTTGGGATTGATGCAGCGAAGGTTTTTGCTTCTTTGCATGAGGGTAGGACATCGAGAAATCGTAAACGATGCTGAGCTCCGCAAGCATGACATTCATTGGTGCCAACAGTGAATTTGCTTGATACGTATCATCTATGACATCCATAACATCTCCCAACATTCCTTATGTTCAAGGAATTTGTTAATTTGCCTGCCCTTTCCTTTCACGAAACCTGTTCTTGTTCACGAAAACGTTTTAAATATGGTATAAACGCAGTATATGATATAAAGTTTCCCTGGTGAAATACATAAAACCTCTTCCCCTTTGCGGTTTATACGTGCTGGCTTCGAAGACGACCACCGGTGCCACCGCGAACCGAAATTGGCTGCCAATTGAGGTGAAGAAAGGAGCTGAGCTGGGGGAGCCAAGAAATCCGCTGGTGGAGTCGCACAAGATACGGCCAAGTCATTTGTTTGTGGATTTGTGGAGGACCTTGGAGGACTTCTGATGGTTTGGTGAGGATTTCTGTACATGGATTGATTTCATGCTCTACTACTGGTAGTAGGATCAATGGAGGGATCCCAGTCGCCATTGTTTGGCTCTCCAGGGTGGTGGTGCTGGGCGAGATGCCTCTTGGCAGATGAAGGGGCCCACGTGAGGTGGGCTGTGAAAAGACGAGTGTGATTGGGTTTATGATGTTCTAAAGTTTGGGGAATTGTTGTGTTAAAGGGCAAAGGCTAAAGGACATAGCAGCTGGCAACTGTTGGATCTCCACTGTTTTTTCAGGCTGCATCCATGCCCACCATGTTTGACCCACATGTTTGGGCGTTTTCCCTCCGCAAGGTTTTGACAACTCAGGTTTAGCTGCCCCTACGCCACGAAGTACTTCTTCGAGTACGGGGAGCGGCTGCCTTTGCCAGGCCAGTTGGCCTCTGACAGCTCTCCCAGCGTCAAGCTCCTGTGCGAGATGGCGCCCTGGACGACCATCCGGACGACAACCCGTTTTTGTGAGCACCTGGAGCCACGCTCCGAGGGTTTTGGGGTGTGGGTCAATCAGGGTTTCGTACAGTTCATTTTTTGTTCGTTGACCAGGGTGGGAGATTCAGGGGCACCATACTTTTGAGATTTTTTCAGCTACTTGTCATTCAGTCTAAGTCTGAAGTGGGAGCTCGACCAACCACAACATCGCCATGACTCAAAGTGGCTATATACAATTGGCCCCTTTGGTTTGAAGTGTTGGATCGTGCTGTGTCAGAGACATCTAGAGATCCGGGTTTCATTCAAGCTTGACATGATCAAACCAGTCAAGGGGAGAACGTCTCCTTGTTTGGGGTTCCATTCCGTAGCTCATTTCGTGCCATGCTCAGCATGATGCAGCAGAGCCTGAGGCGCGGGAGCATAAGGTCTGGATCTTCGGGGGGTCACTGCCTGAACTGGAGGCCTGGTGGGGTTGAATGGATTGAAGGGATTGTACTGGCCGGGGCCTGCCGGTTCTCCCAGTCTTTGACCACCCTCATCACCCGTGGGCCCTGGATCTGAAGCATGGAGCGGCAAAGCTCAGGTTCCCACCAGGTTCCGGGGACAATGCCCATGGGAGAGTTGCAGTTGCTAAGGAAACCCACCTGGAAAGGCATTCGGATGTCTTCATCATCCAATGTTGGCCAGTTGTCCACTTCCATGATTGTTTCAGGTAGAGATGCCCATGATCCACCCCTCTCCACTCAAGGAAGCCGCCAGCCTTGACGGCCAGTCTAGCTTGCTCCAGCCGATGGGGTCTCCAGCTCCCCTGGGGGCTCTGATCTCGATGGATCTCGTTGATGAACGGTTTCCTTTGGAGCGCCACCAGGGGGACAAGGTGTACAACACCACCCTGGTGCTGAACCCGGAGGGCGGCATAGCACCTTGGGCGAAAGACCTCAAGAAGAATCCTTGTGACCCCTGTGATGTGTTCACCTTTGGAGCTCCTTGTGGACTTGTTCAAGTGGGACTGTGGCGTTTACTTTGGCCTTGCTAGAATGCAGCAAGCTGCTACCAAAGACACAATGATGCAAGAGTCTCCCAAAGTTGAAGGAGGACACGCCGCACATCTTGATACATCTTGTCTTGTTTTGTCAATATGTATAGGGTAGTCATATAGGGTTATTGGTTAGTCTTTTTAGCCATGCTGGGGCTGGGAGTGAAGATAGACGTGAAACATGCAGGACCTATTTCAAAATGTACTCCTGGATGGTGAATGGGTGAATGGACCATTTCAACTGGACAGTTCAATTGAAAACCAGCTCCCAAATCTTCCACCTGACACACCTCACGACACCTCAGGATGATGCCAAGCATTCCGATTACCTTTTTCCATTTTGTAACCGTCCTGAACCATATCGCTTTGGCTCTTTTTTCACTTTTCGCCATCCTCCTTTGGCAGCCCAGGTGGCCAAACACCGAAAGGTACATCTCTTTGACATCGACGTAGCAGCGACCGCTACCAGGCAGGGCGACCGCTAACCAGGCTGTTATCCCAATTCTTTGGGAAAGGTTCTTACGATTATCCCACAATTGGACTCCATGTTTCTCGGGATGGGGGGACCAAGTGTGGGATTTGCAGGCATCATGAATGACACTTCCCAGTCGGATAATTCCACAAGCTTGTTCGGTTTATCGCTGGATTTGGGAAAAGACATGTCAAATAAAGCCAATTTCCCTCAGTTTTTGGTTTGCTTCCTGTTTCTTTTTCGATAGAGAGCAAGGTCCGATCCGATTCCATGCGCCGATGGCTCACCGTTGCCCGGCAGGGCTGCAATCAAGTTCAAGGAGAGGGCACTGAACTTGGGAGTTTGAAGAAAGAAAGATGGAGATGAGGTACACCAGGTTTGGAATCTAGACATCAGGAGATCTTTGGAAGCAGTTGGAAGGTAGACTTGACATTTGCTGATCGTGTGATTTGTTCAGATTGGGTTCTGATTGGGTTCGAAGCTGGAAATTCTGGGGGAATCAATCCGGCCCATACACCTGACATCACCTGACCAATCTCAACCACTTGATTGATTCCAGAACATGGTGTCAAATTCGAGAGTCAATTGGACTCCGCCCTGGAACAGCTGCCCTGTCCGTTTCGCCAGTGCGGGGGGCAGGAGTCGGACGTGCTCTCCGTTGGAGAGTCCATGACCTTGGTGGATTTGCCTTGGTGTCGCGTAGGCGCGCGCCGGATCTTTCTTGGTTTGATCGGTTTGATCGGTCGGAATGGTTGCACGGTGAGAAGAGATCCGTACGGTGATATTTGGTCTGCGAGGATGCTGATGTCGAAGGGCAAAGGATGGGATATCCTCCAAGGGCTTCACCAACTCAGTGTGCTCTGCCAGCTTTAGGACCAAACATGACCTCGCTGACATACGTTGCATTTTTATGACATCTCTCTTGGCTAAAAGTTAATGTCGACGTAGGATTAATCAACGGGGACCCCCCCTTTTCAAGGTCAACAAAGTCAACAAGGTCTGAGATTGGAGGTATTGGAGGACCACATCCCCTTAATAAAGATGATGACCTGATGATGAGATGAGGACCTGGACCTGACCATGGATGATGGTTGATGGGATTGTGTGGGAATCATGAGAGTTGGAACAAGGCATGAGACAAGGGTGGATCAGAAGATCAGTTTCACCATGGACCAGAAGATATTGGATACTAGCAACAAGGAACGGTAATAATAAATAGTTATAAATGCAATAGCTATTTTTTATTTGTTTGGGGCAGCTGGGATTGACTAATAGGGGGGTTGCCCAAGAAAAGTATTAGGGGGATGCCAAGGTGGAACTCTAGGTGTTATATTCGTTTAGGATTGAGGTGTCTAAATCAACTCTTTAAACCAACTAAGACTCCTTTGAACTGCTTGTTCCACGTGGTTGTCCCTCCTAGGTGTGGGCATTTGCTACGACTCCCGCTTTCCAGAGCTGGCTTTGGCCATGCGCGCAGAGGGCGCGAAGGCGAAGTCGGCTGCAGTGGTTCGGCTGGGTTCGGCTGGAGGCTGCAGGAAGAAAGACCAGGACACTGGCACCACTTGGTGCTAGAACCAGTGGTTGACATGTTGTTGAGGCTACAGGATTCGAATTCCATGTGAACAGATGTGGGAAATCAACATATAGATCAACATATTATTAGTTTTTTCCACACTTCCGTACCCGGGTAGGAATCAATTCATGCAATTCAAATGAAAAGAACCACTTCGCTGAAACATGTTTGGACTCCACCTATACTACAGGCGCTTGTCAATTTGAGGGGCCAACCTTCCAGCACAACCCCCAGCCTCCAGCACTTGGAGCTGGCAATCTTCCCCAACCCAAAGCAAATCCCCATCTTCCTCCCCATGCAACAGACCCTGACGACTCAAGCCGATACTCACGCCAGCCACTACCCACTGCCACTACTGACGCGAGTTGCGGCGTTATGTTCGGGCCGTGAACCGGGCGTTGGGTTAGGTCTTGGTCTATCCGGGTGCCTTCAACATGACCACTGGGCCCGCCCACTATCAGCTTCTGGCGCGCGGACGGGCGGTCGACACCCAATCTTATGCTCCTTGGACGGTGACGCTGAGCTGGGGAGGTTGGGACACCAAGCACAAACAGGCAGGACAAGTTGATAAGCTTTAAAATGCTGGAATCCTTTTGGGGAATTTTCTTTGCCCCTTAAAACCCAAACCCAACAGCAGTTGAACTAACCTTCCTTTGCACAGGGAAAGTGACAGGGGGTCTCAAGGGGGTCCATTCCAGTTGGCGCTTGTGCGCTGAATGCTTCTGGCCATGCTGGTCGCCTCACCCGAGGTGGTGTTTTGCTCTCCATCTCGAAGCCCGGACAAGAATGACTACCAGGCACGCCTCGTTCGGCCGGTGGACCAGGTGAGTGGCGATGGTTTCGGTGACATGGTGGGAGGGCCCTCACTGAGTGTTTGGAGGGCGCTGAAGGAAGGGCGCTGAAGGGAGGGAATCAGAGATGGTTTAACAGTTTAACGCATGTTCCGCACAACACAGTTGTAAGCTATATGCACTTGTGCACCCCCAGATTCCAAGCACCGGGATGTAAGGGTCTTGCTAGTGTTGCATGCTAGTTGGTAGGGTGTTGTATAAAACCAGGTCAACCTTTCTTCAACCATGGCCTTGGCTGGGGTTGATGTTCACAGTGATGTTCACTCGAAAAGAAGCAACGTCGCATACTTCTACTTCGCGTGCACGGCCGGGGTTTCACATGGGTTGCACCAAGTCACCGGTCTTCAAAAGGACGACTGAGCCCATCGTGGTCCAGGGAGACCCTGGTCCTAAGAGACCCAAAGGAGGAACAGATATGAGGCACAGAGCAAGAAAGATGAAAGCAGGAGTGAGGAGGCATTTTGTAAGAGGGTATCTTCAGATTTCTCAAGTTCTCAGCAAGAAAGCCTTCGAAACCTTCCGAAATCCACGCAAATACAGTACCTCATATAATACTCATATATATCTTCCAGGCCCCCCCCACCGTGGCCCATCCACAGTGGCCAGGCATGGGGCCACTCCCAGTTGATCAATCCATGGGCGGAAATCGTCGTGGAGGCTCTCTCCGTCGTGAGGGGCCAATCTGCGTGGATGGCGAAGTTGGAACATGTTGGAACTACAGATTCTGATTGTCAGTGACTCAGTCAATGTGATTTGAGGTGTACAATAGAACATGTGGGGTTCCAGACTACGGAGCTCTCCCGGTGTCCTTGGGGAAGACCGGTGCCCGACCCTTCACAAAGTCCAGACCACATCGTTGAATACCCAATTGCAGCGACTGTTGGTCAAAGCTCATCTCCACGTTGAGGATCAGTTCATGTCAGTTTCCTATCCTGAACAATCCATTTTTGTATGGAATGTACTAGTTACTGGTGCTGACAAGCGACATGTTTCCTTTTGCATATCTCATGCTGACCATTGCTTAATGTAACGGGGGACGCACTATTTGTTTATTCCAGGGGGAGGTGTTACCTGCCAGAATAATAAGCGTGGAATCAACATTTTGAGTGGAATCTGTTTTTTTGTATGGAGGCCTGGGCCTGACGTATATGTTACCACCCCCCCTGGAATAGTAAATTACACCATTGCTGGAAGGCTAGAACATCATTGCAATTCCATGGAACCTTCAAACATGCATATTTGTGGATCTACATGGTGTTTGAGAGCTTGGCATCCCCTGGAATAAGTGATCCTTTGGAGAGGTTGGAAAGTGCTTGAAATTGGTTGAATGAAATTCATGGCTGGAAACGGTTGTGAACAGCATACATATATATATATAGTTTCTTTTATTAAACATAATAACATGATATTGCGTATTGATGTGTTTCAACAGGGTACACAGGATATTGTTTGGGGTGGGTTCTGAGGGGTCGGCGCGCCATGGAATACGTAGTTCATTATGTAGGGGGAGGTAGGCATGAAGGGATGGCCGAAGGGATAGGAGCGGTTGAATATGGTTGAATTTTGTATTTGGTTAGTTTGCAGCGCTGTGAGCAGTCTTGCGTGTCCTGCAGCAGAGTTTTAGAGAGTTTTCTTGAATTACCAAATAAAACAATATGATGCTTTTTACTGTTCCAACCCTGTGAAACCAGGGTGGAGGCTATTTCCGAAACCGATGTAAAGGGAGGTGGAATCATTAAAGTGTTCTTCTTGGAGGGGGGTGACCTTTATGTACCGCTACTAAGGTGCCCCCCACTAATCCTACTAAGGTGCCCCCCATTAATCAAACCGATTTTAAATCATCATTTCACCAAAGCTCGGTGCTTTGACATGTCGTTTCGCTTCCTCCCAACGGCCCAACGGCCTCACACGCGAGGCGGAACACGAGCCGGGCGTGTGGGTGGTGGAAGTGGATCCCAGTGAAGCCGACCGGATCCGCGAGCAGGCGCGGCCGACCGGATCGACGACGTCGCGGCACTGCCGCGCGCGGTGACGGGCGCGAGAACGCGAAGGTGGCGGCCAGACTCTTGGACGCTGTACAGGTGGGGGGTGCACCTGTAGTCTGTGGGGTGGTTGGGGCGGTTGGTGGATTCAATGGGTTAGGTCGGCATAGAGTTCATGTTTTTGGGTGGGGTGGACTGTAAACATTGCAACCAAACGAAGCTACATATTTTTTGCAAACGCCTTGCTGCCAACCATGGCTGATCCGAGAAGCTTCGCCCCAACCAGGTGCCGACCTCCTATCAGAAGCGCGGCGATCTCTATGCGCCCTACGCGTGTCTCGGAGAGACGAGCCGAAGCCGTTCTGGCAGATGCCCTGGTTTGGGAGATCCCCGGGATTTCAAGGTGTTCGATCATATTCGATCTCTTTGCTCCTTGGAAAATGAGACTTGCAGGTTTTTGTTGCGGGATGCAAGCCAGTGGTTGTCAGCTTCACTCTCGGGGTATGCTAGTGTCTTGGGGATGGTACGTCAATAGTAAGAGATCCACAGTGAAATATGACGAAGAGCTGTGTTGACCATTGTTGACCCATGAATACGTTTATACAAGCTCAGAAGAGGAAGGAGTTCAGAAAGGGATGCTTGTAGGTTGAATCGAGTATTGGCCAGGTAGCGTGGTTCAATCAGTCCATGTGAACGGAACCAGAACCCCAGCTCGCATCTCTTGCATCGGGACTAGATGGTTCAAATGCATCCGTGTGGCACGGAATGGCATCCGACACGCATCGTTTCGCATCGTTTCGCTTTGCCGATTCCAACCGCTTCAGACGCCTTGATCTCGGGTCCACCGCTCTTGCGAGCCGGGGAGCCGGGCCCACCGTCTCATCCGACGGTGGCGGACGGTGGGGTTCCCCCCCACGTCGAGACCGCGCAGGGAACTCGAGGATGTGAAGAGGAGACGTGGTGACAGCAGCTTGTAGACGATTCTCCTGCAGAAAAACAACTGCCGATGCGGGCGCGATGGTGCTTGGGTGATGTTTCGAGTTGGGTTTTGACTTGTGACTCACCATCGTTACGATAGATATGACATGATATGACCGTGCCCAGCAAAAAATATGGGCTCCGATGATTTCCAATCGAACTGGACCCAGCACAGGACATTGGATAAAGTTGGTCACAAGTGTGGCACTGCCCTGCAAGACACGCCAAAGCTGAAGGAAGGATAAGGAAGGCATCTCCATGAATATGAATAACTTTATAATGTAGTGTCTGTAATACATAGCAGATTGATGCAAACATGTGCCCTTTTTGTGGCAATAGACGTTTGTTCCATCAGATTCCATCACCTGGGGAGGAGTCTCCTGCTGCTGGAATCCGGATTTCGGCACCTTAAGCTTGCCAGGCTCAAGCTTCTGGCCAGATCACAGACCTCTCGAATTTGCAGCGTCCCCAGCAGAAAGGAGGTATCCGGAGGTTTCTGATTGAAAGACGGGAGTTTCTGAGCGTCACGCGCAAGTGCTGCGGGGTCAATTGGTCAAAGCATGTCAAAATCGGCGGGAAGGAGATCCATCGTTTTGAGTCATACAGCCGTTTGAGAGGGATACATCAGCAAGAACCCCATCAACAAAGAAAAATAACTCGAGGGTACTCGGTGTAAACCACCAAGATGTGAAGTGGCCGCTGGGCACCTCAGGATAGGTTCCAGCTGCCTGAAGGTGAGAAGAAGCTCTCTTGAGACGACTCGGGACTGTGTCCCATGGTGAGAAGAGCTCCAGTGGGGTTTGTGTTAACAGTAGTGGGGCCCTGCCCATGGCTGTGATAAGTCGGTGATGCCGGGTTCTCCTGCAGGCTCGATGACATAGACATCGATGATTTGGAAGAAACAGGCGCGTGAGCGTGGGAAACAGGCAGCAGGTCTGCTGACAAGCCTCCGAGATCAGATAACAAGTTGGCCACAGAGCTATGGCTCCAACAGAGGGTGCAACTTGGATGAACTGGACGGACCTCAGCATGTCACATTCCATGTGTTTGATGTTGATGTGCTTTGAATGGAAGGTTCTGATTTTCACCATGTCTTTTGTCATGTCTCTTGGTGCATTGAGCACATTCCGACTCGGTCTGCCCTGGGGCCGCCAAGTCCCATGTCAAAAGCGTCCGAAACCGGTCGGTTCCGGTCTGGGTTCCCGCAGAAGTTGGCGCAAAACGTCTCAATTGGCCCAAATGATGCGGAAATTCTTTCGAAACACGTCCAGCAAAAGGCCAGTATTGAAGCATCAGTAAGCCAGTTACCAGATGCACGATCATTTCGATCCATTCTATGAATTCTATATTATATAGGTGATTAGTTGTATATATACCCAACCAATCCAAACTATGTCATATATCAAGGGTTTACCAAAACTGGTTGTTTTTTGGTCGGTTTCGGCAAACTGGGTGTTTTTTTCGACTGATTTTCGACAAATCTTAGTTCGACAAACTTCGGTAAACTGTATGCACCCATAAACAGAGTGCTCAACTCCCTTTTCACACGCTTTGAAGCTCAATTTGAGCACACAAGTATTGCAACTGGAACTGCACATTATGATTTCACGCACTTTGCGGGCTCACATTGAGCTCACAGTGACCCACTACAGTTGCACCAATTGATCTAATTATGCACTCTGCTTGTATACCTTAAGCTTCAAGAGAGAGCGTTGAAGAACTCTAATTTCCATCACAGCTGAATGGACTCTTTTGCACAATTGTTTAATTTTGCCCATGCAATCCTCATCCAAATATGCATGATAGAATCTGCTGGAATATTCCTCTTTGACTTGATCATCCAGAATGTGCTCGAAGACCTGGAGGCACAGACAACTACCATCGCAGTAAATTACTCAGAACAATAATATTAATATAAGTTGACCAAAATAACCGCAAACATAGACAAAAAGTCAATCTTGCACATGTTCATGTGCTTTGAACTATATAACTTGCCCAAAAAAACTGTCGAGGAACATGATGCTTTGGTCGTATAGACCAAAGAAGGCTACCTTCTCTGGCAGATAGCCTGGTCAATTGCATGTAGTGTTCCATGGACTGCTCACCAAGTGTGCGGAGAAGTCTGGCTTGTTCACCACTTAGGTAGCGCGGAAATGATTCAACTTTGTTGAACCACTCCCCCAGTGTCCAAAAGTAATGTGCACTCCATTCCATCCGACATCGCAGATTTTGATCTTGAATTTGCTGCCAGACATGAAAGTGTCCAGTGTATACCACCGCAAGGAATGCAAGACATATTCGTCCGTTGAATGCTTTTGATCCCAAAAACGGAGGCTCACCTGGCTTGTTCACATGCAGCAATCCAGGCGTTATATTGCACTGAGATTGCGGAACTCTGTTGGCATAACTCCAGGAGCGTAAAGCGTCTGTAAGGCGTTTACATTGATGTTCCAAGGGAGGCGGGCCATACATGCCTTGATCAATCAGCTGCAAGATTCCAGAAGCCAATGCAAACTGAAGGAATCCTAGATTGATGACATGCATGCTGCAGTGCCGCAGCATGTCAACATGAAACCCTTGCACCTCCAAAAGTGGACATACATATCTGGGAATCACATTCAAGACAAAGTTGTTATGCGTCCGTCTATCGAACTGCTGAAAATGTCCAAAGTCAACGAAATGTGGTCTGCCTGTCTTCCGCGCATTGCACCTGTAGCAGATGTGCACAGCCCCCCAATGAGCCTTTAGTTTAAAGGTCTCTCGATATTGCTTCCAATCCCCCCTCAACTCTGTGAGGGCAAATGGTCCTCCACACAAAGCTTGCCCAGCACGCTTTCCACGCCATCCAGCCAAAGGCCTTCCTTCATGATCAACACTGGGCCATGACCCAGACAACGCGACATTGAAGGACCATGCTATGGCTGCCCAAATCGGTTCCATAGTCTTTTGATGTGGAAGCAAGAGGCAAGTCCGGCAAACAAACAGGACAAATCTGGAAGCATCAATGTCATCCAATTTTTGGAGTGGCAGATTCATGACCATAGCAAACACCTTGTCCCCGAGCATGTTGTATCTTGCCTCATCATGGAATAAGCCCACTGGCACAAAGTCCTTGTCCCGCTGTGTGGCAGCGGGGTGCTTGCATGCCCATGGCACACCTTATTTCATGACAAGACAGTGGTTTTCCCGCTCAGCACCAAAAGACAGAATTGAAGCCATGACAACTATGACATACAACACACACACACACGATTTAGATCCAAGGAACCACGATCCCAAAAGTGTCTCCAGAAGTATTTGATTTCTGGCACATCTCGATCAACCTTGGAGTACCTGTGTGGGGAAGATACACTGGGAGCTCCATTTGCTCCACTTCATTGACGCCCTTGGCACTGCGCACCTTCACTGACACCCAGTATGGTTCACATGGGAGGTTGAGCAATCGATGAATATCACGTTCTATGTTTCCTGCAAACTTGCCACCGCATCCAAGTCTTGCCAAACGTCCAGTGAGTCGCGAAAATCCACGCGTCTCCTGAAGGACACTTCTCGCATGCAACCATGATTGATTAGTGACATGCTGTCCTGAACAGCACTTGTCGCAGCTTCTTGGGCATACTTCAGGGATGAAGCCTGATGCCAAAAACTGAAACCAATTTTACAAATATGGTGTTCACCAACTGCAGGAAAGAAACTCCTTTGCCAGCATTGCATAGCAAAAAATCTGCAAACGCTGTACCTACCCAGTTCTGAGGACAGTTATAATGGCATTGTGTGAAACTTCTATGAAGTTTATGAATGACAAGCACGGTTAGTCTTGCATGCACTTCCCAGCTTGCACTAACAGCATGCAAATGCAGTGATGTGCTCAACAACCTTTCTCAGCTTCTAGAGATCCAGCGGGGCCTTTGCCCAGGAGTCCCTGCACCCTCTATCTTGAGCACGCACACTGGAGCCCACAATGTGCAAGTTTTGTTCAATGATTCATGGAATGTGCCAAAGCACCAGAAAATTGTGTGGTCTCCATGAAACTCCTCTTTGTGGAAAACAGCGCGCATGCACGATAACCCCTGCAAGGTTCTATCCAGGCTCAGCCCCACCATGACTCATGTCGTCAAAACGGCATATTGGAAAACCAAAGCCTCAATCTACTTTGCTGCAGGGGGTGCTGCAGCTGCTTTACTTTTTGCCTTGGCACTGCTTTTGGCCTTAGGCAAATGCTTTCGGCAATGTAGGGACACCCCCTTGTACTTCTCATTGACCACACGCATAGCAGTGGTCGCATGGTTCAATTGCTCACCGTCAGCGTTGCCCGCAACAGCAGCCTTCCAGAGAGCAAATATATATTAAATACATATTATATAGCATGTCACTAAAATGCGTGACTCGGTTATAATTCGGGTGCCTCCAGTGTTTCTCGCGCGCTTGTCAACTCGAGTTGAAGTGGTTGCATATCTTTAAGCAATACATCCAGAAAATTTTGTGGCCTCAAAGCAGAACAACACATACCAATGCAACATAGTTTTCAACCGACATGTTTTGCATGCTCATGTTGCAAGGTAGATAAGTTGAGGACATGTTTGGGTCAGCACCAAGCTTTGCTTTCCATGACTTGCATTCCGTTATGTTTAAGCTCGCGATCGACATTTCCTTCTTTGCCAGCTGCAGGGGTGTTTTTTCCTGTGCCGCTTTTGGCTTTGGTGTAGGCTTAGGCTTAGGCTTACCCTCTGGCTGAATGGTTTCTGGCGCTGGCTTTGGGTGTTTGGGTTGCGGCACCGGTGGAGGTGGACACTGGCTCAAGTCCACACCAGGGGTGACAGTCTTCATCCCAGTAGGTGCATCTGGCTTGAGTTCTCCAACTTTGGTCCTGCAATAGAAGCAGCTAGCTAGTATCATGGCAAATAAGGATCCAGGTGAAGGAGCTCAACATGTCAGGCTGACCTCAAGGCATTCGCGCTTTTGTTGGAGATGTTCAGGCTTGAGGTCACGATTTGTTCGT